CCTTTTTTTTTCTTTTTTTTTTTTTTTTTCCTGGCTACCCCTCTGTTCAAATCATGGTGGCTGATAGTGAACCTTCATGCCCTCTGAACTTTAAAGTCTAAAATAGCTTTCTGGGTATGAAAGGGCAGGCCTGTAATTTTTAATAAACAGGCAGTTATCATTGACCTAAATAGGTTTGCAGGTAGTATCATATTTGAGGTCTAGTGAGAGGTACAGGGGACTAACTTTTTCATTTGACATCAATGTGAATGACTGTGTATTAAGGGTTATCTTGACCCTGGCTTTCCTCATGAATAGAGGAAGAAGGTAGCTTCTTAAAGTTTAGGACAATCAAAAAATGCAGTTTTGCAATCAAAAGGGCCCTGGGACATCGGGCCTGTGGATAATTAGAACATGAGATGATCTTTAAAAGAACTCCCCTTACCCACTCCCCCTCTCCTCATGAGGCATTAAGTGCACTAATTTCCATTGGCTCTTGGGGGGAGGTTAGTGCCAATGAGGATAATTTGGTCTAATCATTATTACTTTAATTCTCTTGCAGTATTCTCAGAAAGAAGACAAATATGAGGAGGAGATAAAGATTCTTACTGATAAACTCAAAGAGGTGAGCTGTTATAGAGAACTAAAGTAATACATAGCCATATTAGCATGAACCATCTAGCTTTGGGGCCTCAAGAGTAGAGGGGCGGGGCAGCTAGGTGGCAAAATAGATAGAGCACTGGCCCTGGAGTCAGGAGGATCTGAGTTCAAATTCGGCCTCAGACAAAACAGTTACAGGCTATGTGACTCTGGGCAAGCCACTTAACCCCCATTGCCTCACCAAAAAAAAAGTAGAGAGGGAGTGGTAATGAAGTTAGGAAGACCCAGGTTCAAGGCATATTGCTGCTTCTGCCTTAGCTGTGTGCCCTGGGGGAAATTCCTGGTCAACTTTCTAAGACTTGAGGTTGTAGAATGGATTGCCTCCTTTGCATTAGTAGGAGTCTTGTCACTGGGAGTTTCCTTTGCCATTACAGTCATAGGTGTGTATCTAGATGGGAAAAGGGGCTGGGGGGTCCTTTTTATTTCAGACTTGCCCATCTCTGGTTCTGATCAGTTTTATATCTTCCCCAGGCAGAGACCCGTGCTGAGTTTGCTGAGAGATCGGTAGCCAAGCTGGAAAAGACAATTGATGACTTGGAAGGTATGAAGCAAAAGGGATAGAAGTAAAGGGCAAGTAGGTAGAGATGTTGCTCCCCAGATTCCTTCTATTTCTGAAGACTGCAGAGAATTATCTGCCTCTCCACCTTTCTCTGGAGACACAGTGGGACTCAGTACATGCCCTTTGTATTGAGTGGCATTCCGTCTTATGATTGCAGAGAGGGGAAATACCTTGCTTTCTCTTATTTAATCTGCCCCCAGGATTGGTACCTTATACTTTGAAGCCTTTTTGTATGCCCCTAGCACTTGGATGGCATTTGAAACCAGGCCCTTCATGTGTTGCAGTGGCTTCAGTGACCCAGTCACCTTTCAAGACTTCTTTAATTCCCCATCTAGCTGTCCTCCAAAAAGGGAAACTGTGGTTATGCCCTCCACCCCAAGGCAGAGCAATAACTAGAGCTTTCTAAGTACTTCCCGTCACTAATTTGATAGCTTAGTGACCGATCAACCAGTCTGGCCTTGGGAACACTTGAGAACACTGTGGCCACAGGTTAGGTTGTACGATATCCCTATTGAAAAGTTGGGAGGGTGAGGCATCAAAATGCCTGGCATAGTGGAGTGAGTGTGCCTGTTGGGCAGCATCTTAAGTACCAGTAGTGCATTCTCTCCCTATGGGCAAGGTTAAGCTGTTGAATATCCCTTCAGAAAAAAATAGTAGGGATAGTGGATATGCCTTAGAGTAGCATTTTAAATACTGGCAGGGTACCTTATTTTGATTTGGCTCACTCTCAGGGGTTTGTTTCTCAGTGAATGGGATATCTCCAGAGTGCCACAGGCATAAGAACCTCCCCAAAAGAATAACCATCCTCAAACTCCAACTTCTACATTGGGTTGGAGAGAGGAAAGAAAAGCCCTGATGATCTAAGTAGAAATTGTCCCTCTTGGGATCAGAGGAATGGCTTCCAGTTCAGGCCCACTCCTGCTGCCCCAGTTGCGCTTCCTGTGCCACAGCCACTCTTTTTCTTCTCTTTGTCGATGATGCCCTCATTTCCTCCACCCCTGTCACATCTCACCTCTATCCCTGCATTTTCTTCGGTTGCTGTCTGTGCCTTTCCTCCAGATGAGCTCTATGCCCAGAAACTGAAGTACAAGGCCATTAGCGAGGAACTGGACCACGCCCTCAATGACATGACCTCTATGTAACTATCTGACAGCAGAGTGGGGTTGGGCTTTTGTCTTTGGGAGGACAGGGTGTGCAGAGAGTGCTGTGGTGTTTTGATGTCTGTCTTTGGAAACACTAACATCTCCACCCTTACCCTCAGTATCAAAATAAAGGTGGTGCTGGTTGCTGGTTTGGCCATTGATAAGGCAATGAGAAAATTGGGGACCTCCCCCCAAGTCCTAACAAACTGGTTAGTGGTCCTGTTTGTAAAGTGTAGACAACATACCTTTTGTTCATGCTGTGTTTGTTACATTGTCTCTTGCCTTTTTGTCTCCTCAACTAAGCCTAGGGTGTTTCTCTGTTTCATGAAGAAATTGGAGCCTGAATTGTAAATGACTCGCTTGGACTCGAGAAGCCCACCCTTACAAAGCAAAAGTCACTTACAATGGACATATTGTAGTACTTTGTGATCCGGGTCCAGGGAAGACCAAGTTGTTGTTCTTTAAAACTCCAGCTGAGTCCTAGAAATGAGTGGGAAGTAACCAGCACCAGAGAGAGTTGTTTAGGGCCTTTTTCTGTTTGTGGATTCTAATCCTTGAGTCTAATCTGACTTTCTCCCTCCTTTCTACTAACTCAAAAGAAGCCAAAAGTCTGGCCGTAATTCCTGCCTCCTGTTTTCTTATCCATACTACTTCTCTTTCCTGAGTGTGCCCTGACTGTTGAAAGCCCCTCTCATCTGGGGTTTCATTCTCACTTCTCCACACAGATAAGCTCTCACCGTTTCTGCTCTGTTCTGGATCTGCCCCCTCCGCTCGGGGAAACAATCCTTCTCTCGGCACTCCCAACGTCCTGTGCTCTTCCTGGATTCCATTTGGGTGGGCCTGGCTGGTCCCCAGGGCATTGGATGGGGGGGTTAACAAAGTAATTATGTGTTCATTCCCCTTTTTCCACCCCAAATTAAAATATTTCCAAGCTGCTGGATGCCTCACTCAACCCAGCTTTTGTGTTCTTGACAAAGATGTTGCTGTCCAAAGGAAGGAACTGACTTCTCAGGGGTGTGGTGTGGGGAGCAGGCATGGTGGGTTTTCCTTCCTCAATGATGTGTGAAATCAAAGCTACTTTTGTGTGTCTTGCCTATTCTTTCCTGATATTTAAAGGATTTGTTGAACTACCAGAATGGTATAATAGTTCAGAGTCCTTAGTGGATTCTGAGAGGATCCTATTTCTTTAAGTTGAAAAGACCTTTTTAAGGTAAATCCCTCCAAGCTTCTAAACCATTCCACCCTTGAGTGTCTTCTATCATGTTCTTTACTTCCATTGAAAAGATCACAAACACCTTCTAAGCTCTCAACCCTTGTAGTAAAGAGTCTAATAATTCAAACATCTGCTATTCTAATAGAAGACACCCCCCCTTCTCAGTCTATATTGGTTTCTCATTTAGGAGACATAACTTCTAGACACTTATGTTTCTCTTCAATTCCATAGTAGAAATCTTATTTAGGAATGACTGTTCTCTACTTTCCCAGAAAGTCAGGCTTCTATTCCAAAAGGGAACCTAGGTCTAATATAAAAGTTAGCAACTTCAGATGTGCTTCCTTTGCTCTTCTGCCTCAGAAAGAACGAACCAGGGAATTATTACTGATTTCGCAAGTATTTTATCAAACATCCATCATGGTAAGGAGAAAACAGCAATAAAATAAAAATAAATCTGCCTTTTAATTCAAGAGGGATAAGAAATTCACATGTTTGTCATAGAGAGCAATATATAGTGCCATCAGATTGCTAATGAATTTGCTATAGGAGTTTAGATGTGGGAAAGATTGATGACTGAAGTTGACAGTTTCATGAAGAAACTGGATAGGATTTTTTCACAGAAACAGGATAAGTTAAAGCCTTCCAAGCTAATAAAAAGCATGGAGGTAGGAAAGCACATTTGGGGAATGGTAAGGTAAACAATATCCCTCTGCTCCAACTAAATTGTCATTGGCAAGACTGGGAAGATAACAGTGCGGCCACATCACAGATGGGGAGGATTTTGCCGGCTATGCTAAGGAGTCTGGATGTTAACAGAAAGTGGGGAGCAGCTGGGGATTTTTGAGAAAGGCAATGACATTGTCGTGTGTAGCATTAGAGTTGGATGGTACAAATATTTACCTCTTATAGATGGATAAATTTAGGTTCAGGGATTTATTTGCTCAGGGTCACATAGTTTATATGTATCCATACTAGAACCTAGAATCCAGATCTGACTGGCCCTTTTTCTACCAGACTCCACAAAGAGCGTGGTATGTTAAGACTGACCTGTAAACAGGACAGCTTAGAGGTAGAGAAAGAGAGAAGTAGGATGAGGTGGGGAAAGACCACTGGGAAAGTTTTTTTAAGTGTTAATAAAGGGCTGAACTTGGATGATGGAAGTGGGAATGGAAAGGAAAGGAGTATAGACAGGAAACTGAGATTGAGCTTTTGAGCTTAGGTGATAAGAATGGTAATAATAGTATTAACATTAATAAATAGGAGAGCCATGCTGTGGTAGATAGATGAATAGAGGGCACTTGATGTTGGAGCTACCTCTTCATAGAGGTGAAGCTGTCAATAAAAACAAAATCACAAACACAGAATTAAAGACTGAGGACAGAATTTGGGGGGAAATAACAGGATTCAGTTTGTATAAGAGGAGGAAAGAGTCAAAGGAGAGTTGGGGTAGTATAGTATCACAGAACCCAAGGGGTGAGAGGGTCTTAATCTAGTGTTAAAGGACAGAGCTGAGGATAAGGACTGCAGGAAAACAATTGAGTTTGTCCAAGAATAATTTTAGTAAGTACTGGGGATAGAAGGCAAGTTATAAGGAACTGAGTGAGTTGGAAGTGATAAAATGGGATATGGTGACTGTTCACTTTTTGGAACCCCAGTTTAAGAAGGCTGATAAATAACTGGCTTTAAGTATTCCAAATGTCACATGGGAAAAAAAAATCATTGTTCTTTTCATTCCATAGGTTAGGATTAGGTAGAAGGAAGTCTCCGCATTCTTTTCTCAATGAAAAGAAAAGTTTCCTAATAATTAGAAATTGTCCAAGGATGGAATAGTCTGTTTAATAGGAAGAAAGGAGGAAGTTGTGGGCCCTTCTGTAAATGACTATGGCCAATGGGCAGAATTCACCCTCACTAGCAATGTTTTAGAGTGTATTCTTGGTTTGCTTAGATGTTGGGCCAGACGGCTTCTGAGATCCTTCCAACTTGAAGATCATAGCTTCAGTTTTTGAAGTTGGACGTGGGAACAGGGTCAAGATTTATTTAAGATGAGAGAGACCCAACACAGAACCACAACAAAGACAGAGATTTACATAATATAGAGTGAGAGATGAACCTAATTGACAGGCTGCTGAGGCAAGAGAGAATGCCCCTAGGATCAGTCTTGGAAAGGAGAGAGAATGGAGCAGGAAGCTGGAGTTTTCCCTTAATTTCCTTAATGAAGTAAGGAAGTTAGAGTTGTAGGTTAAGTTTTCCAAAAAGTCTTTGCCCATCATACTAGCTATGCTACAGGTGATCACAGGGAGTGGTAACTTCAACAGTGTGAATTTAATCTTGAGGAAAACAATAGCTTTAGCTGCTATTCAGTATCTCCTATCCTTGTCTGTCTTAAGACTAAGCTATTCTTACTCAATTAGGGAGACCTCTGACTGAATTAAAATGCCTTCATTGCTTGTTGATTCCAGTGGCAAAGACTATAGTATTTTAAAATTACTTAGAATCTAGGTCCTAGACCATTCAATTGGCCTTTTTTTTTTTCTTTGAGCTCAGAAAGAAGGGTGACAGTGTGAGGTTATGGTAGAGAATTATTCAGCCATTCACCTACCTGTCAGGTGTGTGATGGAGAACAGAAGATGACCGAGCCCTATGTCACCAGCAGAGTGGTTCAAGCATCTTTGGTTTTAGCCCCACCCAAGTCTTTTATTCCCAGGGCATAATCCTTCAGTCTGTTGGTGAGCCACTCTCTCCAGTAAGTGAATTTTAGTATCATAGGATCATATACTTAGAAGCTATCTAGTCTAACTCCCTCATTTTAGAGATGAGGAAACTGAGGCTTGTAGAAATTAGTTCTGATTTATATTTACTTACTGATCTTAAAAGGCTGAGATAACTTCCTGTCTCCCCTTCTCTATGGTAAAAGGAAAGTTAGCCTATTTTGGGCCCATGGCAGCTCAAGTGTGTCTTAGTGAATGGATTGACCCATAAGTAGGCAGAGCTAACTAGAGAAAGAACATTGGACCAGATGTGTGCTGTGTATTTCTTGCCTTCCTTACAGGTGTTACTAAGACACATACTACCTACCAATATGTGTCTTTAACTGTTGAACTAGTATCTGATCATAAAATCCTTATTAACTATCAAAGCATGAGGAAAGGGGATATAAGGTCAATTTGGTGAAGAGACTTGAAACAATTCACTTTTGTTGGAGTAGCTTAGTAGAAGGAACACTCACTCCACATAAAGTCAGATATCTAACTTGGGTTCAGATCTAGCTCTGAGGCTGAATACGTCAACCTCACTGAACCTGTTTCTTCATTTGTAAAGTAAGGGTTGAGCAGGTGGACCACCATGGTCCCTTCCAGCTCCAAAATCTATGAACCTTTTTTGAGCCTAGAGTCCAAGGTGAGAATATCCCCTTCTGTGTAACTTTGGGCCTCAGACATTCTGTAGAGCCAGTTTAGGGTTTGGTCTGACACCTAAATACTTGCTCTGCCCTTACTCACCTCTGATAGTTTTTTACAATTTCTTATTCTTCCTAAGTGGAATACATGCTGCCTAACTGCTTAAATCTTTATTTGTAAGGGTAGTATAATGACAAATGGGCCTCAGAAGCTTCACTAAGTAGGAATGAAAGTTCCGTAGGGTGTGGCTAGAGTTTGAGACCTAGGAGCCTAAGGATTTCCTGACCATGTAGACCTATGATTCTATGATATTTCTGAAGAATTTGGGAAAACTGTAGGTGCTCTGTGAGAATGGAATAGGGATATTAAAGATAGCATTCACTACCAAATACAGACTGCCTTCTTTCTGATGCCAACCAGGCAGGAAACTGTAGAATTGTTGACATTGATTGCAGGATTGTATAGTTTTTATGTGACCTCCAGTGGATAGGATGTACAACCAATCAGTCCCCCTAAGTCCCATCCTAAAAGAAACACTCCTTTTAAAAAGAGGACAGAAATGTTCAGGATTTTCAGGTTCCTCTCTTCCTTTCTCCCGTACTCTCTGTCAAACTGTTTTCCCCTTGGATGTGGCTCTATAAAATAAGGATCTACATATAACGCCTTGTAGGGAGAAGATAAATGACTTACATACTGAAGGGTATGATCAGAGGCTGTATATGAAGATATGGGCCATAGGCCAGCTGCTTCCTACTGTCAGCAAGGAAGAAAATTTCCTATTTTTTGGCACTGAGAGGTACAGGCGGTGGTTGGTTGGTCAATTACTATTGGGTTTGTGGCCAGAGGATGAGGTGGCTATTGTTAAGGATATCTTTGTGCTTCTAGGATTCCCTTGGCTTCTTAGAGGGAAGGAAAAGGAAAAAAAAAACAGTTTAAGGAAAGGCCCTTAAAAAACCTGACAGTTTTAGTCTTCTAAAGCATATTAAATTTGGGAAATACCTGGTACTTTGTTAAATTAACTAAGGCTCTGAGATATTCCTGGGAACTGTTATAAAAAGCGAAAGAAACTTCAGAGCTATAGAACTGCAAGATAAGGGTTGACTTGCTCCTTGCCCAACTCCCTTTCCCTGCTGCTGATCCGGATGTGTATTTTAAACACACAGGCTGACATCTCGGTTGCTAGTTTGGTTTTTGGTTAACAGTTCAGTGATGACCTGACCTCTTAATTGGCTAAAAACTTCCTGCAGATAGATGGGCACCAGAGTGGGTAGATGAGAAATGCAGCCCAGCCTTTCAAAGGGGACCATTCTTTGCTCATTCTGTGCGACTTCTTGTGTGCCCCAGTCTTTGACACTAGGGATGCTGCAGTGCAGGGTTTTCCTGCTTTAAATGTTGTGTCCAATTATCTTCCCATAGTCTTAACTTTCCTCTTTTGCTGATCTGGCCCCTTCACCTGACGATCTTTCCACACTGTTTGATGCTAGCTGACTGGACCATTCTCTGTCCAAATCCTTTTCCCATCCAGTGTGATTCCCTGATGCATGTGTAATGCCAACTAGTTGTAAAACTCAATTCACTTCCAATACTCTACTAACTTTCCCTTTTTTCTCTCCTTTCCTCCTCTTTCCCTTTCTCTTCCTCTTGTTCCCCTCTCCTCCTCTGTCGCTGTTGCAGAGCGTCTCTACAGCCAACTTGAGCGAAACCGCCTGCTCTCTAACGAGCTGAAGTTAACGCTGCATGATCTGTGTGACTGACGGGAAGGGGCTCACTAATGCCCCTTAAACCAAGCTTACAGTTCATTGGCCTGGACCCCAGCAAAAGCTGATCAGTACCCCCCCTCTTATCCCTGGCTGAGCAAACTATTGTTTAATTGGGGCAGTTGAAAAATAATAATGTCTAGCATTTATATAGCGCTTTAAGGTTTGCAGAGCACTTTACAAATATTATCTGATTTTATGCTTACAACAACCCTGGGAGGTAGGTGATATTATCATCCCTATTTTACAGATGAGGAAACTGAGGCAGTTGAAGGTTTAAGTGACTTGCCTAGGGTCACGTAGCTAGTAAATATCTGAGGCTGATTTGAATTCAGGTCTTCCTGACTCCAGGTCCAGTGCCCTATCTACTGTGCCATCTAGCTGCCTCTAATACTTGAAGAAGAAAAATAACCCTTTTAAAAAAGGTAACCTTTCCATGGCTGTATAAATCCAAAGGAATCAATACAGACATTCCTTACCCTTTTTACACGAATTTGTAGGGGGCAGGGTGGACATTGACTCCAAATGAAACTAAAAATTGGGAGGTCAGTAAGTCCAGGAGAATTCATCTCCTTGATATCTGTTCTCCCCTTAAATCCTAGCTGTTCCTTTACCTGTACGCTGATTGTAGGATGTGTTCCTTTTGCATGGATGGTTTATAACAATAAAAGGACTGAATTGATTGTATGGTGTAGCTATGCTTCATCTATAGGCCCAGGCCTGGGCTGGTTCTGGCTGGGGTGAGAAAGGGCAAAGAAATTGGATTGGGAAAAAGGATGGGGGTTGTCCTGACTCTCAGCTGTCATGACCTTGTGTTGGGACATGTGAGGATATTACTCTGTGCTTTTAACTGAAGAAACCTGGAGGGTGGTTCGCTTGGTGGGTTGGAGTCTTCTTGAGGCTTGGCCAAGTTTTGGTCCCTCTTGATCTTGTTTCCTAGAGCACCTTTCCCTGTGTTACGTGCTTCAGTATAACTGACTCAGTCATAGGCCAGGCCTGCATGATACTTCAGCAAAGTTTGGTGGTGGGAGGTATGGTATTCCTTTTGTTCAGAGATCTTTTAGCCTGCTGAGCCTAGTTTTCATGGAAGCATTGTCGTGATTCCTTTTTTCTTTTTCTTTTTCTTTTTTTTTTTTTGTTTTGTTTTGCACTAGGCAGTGGGATTAAGTGACTTGCCCAGGGTCACACCAGCTAGTAAGTGTTATGTGTCTGAGGCTGGATTTGAAGGTCCTCCTGAATCCAGGGCCAGTGCCCTATCTGCTGCACCACCTAGCTGCCCCTATTCTCGTGATTCTTACCCATTGTTCTACTCTGCTTTGGAGAGCAGTTTAGCCTTTGTAGCCTCACCTTTGGTGATCTTCTGTTTAGCAGGAATGTCAAGTACATTCCTGCTACTGGAAATGCCCTCATCCTGGCTCATAGTACCACAGTGAGACCATCTAGTCCAGCTCAAATGAGGAGACTTGCTTAAGGTTGCACAGGCAGTAAGTTATAGAGGGGGAGTTTGAACCTAGGACTTCTGTCTCCAGACCCAGTATCCTTTCGGTTGGAACATACTGTTTTTTCCTCCTTCAGAGGAAACCTGAAGTTTCCTCTACTTGGCACTATTACTTCAGCCACCCAGTCTTTTGGTTTGCTCACCACAGAGGTGAATAGGGTCACATTTGTAACTGTAGTGTGAGCTTGGGTGGAGGTTGTAAGGTTAAGAAATAACAAGACTACACTCCCTCCCACAGGAAGTACAGCAACACCTGTAGCTTCAGGAGGCAAAGGCCTACAAAGGCCTGCAAAGCCAAGTGAGGCAACAGCAGCTTGCTTCCGGGTCTGTAAGATTCGGTAGCCGCCCATCTGTAGGGAGCATGTCTGAGTGTGGACGGGCTTGGAGTTTTGTTCCCAGCCATTGTAACCTCTTTCCCTTTGCTCCCATTAGATAAACTGAAATGCACCAAAGAGGAGCACCTCTGCACACAAAGGATGCTGGACCAGACTCTGCTTGACCTGAATGAGATGTAGAAACGCCTTTCCCCCAGCCCCACCCTGTCGCTGCTCCTTCCACTGACTCTGACTTTGCTGGAGACCAGCCTGCCTGAAGCTGACCTTTAACCCGAAGGCTGCTTTCTTCTCTGGGTCCTTGCTTACCCTCTCCCCACCCCACCCCTACCTCCAACTCCCCATGTCAATTTCACCAAAACTGTCTGCAGCTCTACCCTAGAGATCTCACATGGACTAAGGGCTGAGCACTTTTGGGAACAACATTTAAGGGAACATG